CCCCCCCCCTTTTTTTTTTTCTTCTCTCAGCTCTCTTTATGTAGAGAAGAGGATTTCCAAAGTGCTGTTATTTAGCAGATCATTAGAGAAACATCCCCTGACTGCATGGTATCTCTGCTTTTATTCAAATGCAGCTTGGTTGCTTTGATACTTGCTCCAGAACACCTGTAATGGAATAGTTGCAACTATTTTCGTATAACTATGCTGGCAGCTTGCCTCTGCAGATACTTTGGAAAACAGTCACAGTGAAATGCTTTCCTCCTAGCCTGTTACCCCCAAATTAGTCTGATAGCATTTGGTATCTTATGTTGATTTTTAAACTGTTAAAGTATTCGAAATACGTATTTGTTTGATAGGCTGACCTTTGTGAAGCCGTGTAATTTGATTCTACTGTTCTGATTTGAATAATAGTCCCACGTAAAAATGAAAGCACTGTGCTTCCACAGTGCTAACTCATTACACTTAACTGAGGAGACCTTTGATTTCTAGCTGGTGAATCATACTCTGTGTGTGTGTGTGTGTGTGTGTGTGTGTGTGTGTGTGTGTGTTTGTGCGTGTATGTGTATATATATATATATGTGTGTGTGTGTATATATATATATATAAAGAGTGTAGGTTTACAAAAGATGCACAGCATCAGTAAATAGTAAATTCAGTTAAATCCTCTTAAAGAATTAGTAACCTAGGAGCAGTGGGTTTTTTGCACCTTTTAAAAGAAAAAAAAAATGCTGCACTGCGTTTGAAAAATAAGTGTTACTGCAAATGGATTATAAACAAATGTAAAACTAAAATGTTTGGTTTATTTCTTCAGGATCAGTGTGTGAAATGCAGAAGATGGACATCCGAAGAGGAGAAAATAGATTTAGCTCGAAGATCTCAGTCTGGTTGTTAAAAGGGAATTAACGATCAACTAAAAAAGGGTCAAGTGTTTATACTAATAGGTTGTCCTAGAAACGAAGGCTCTCTTGCACAGATGGAGTACTACCTTACTAATAGTTGCAGTTTTCTTCCTTGTAGCAGAGCCGTTGCCCGCCTTCCAAATTTTCCTGCAAAGCACTATTTTATATAATAAATTTCAGTAATTTCAGACTATATGACTGCCTGCCAAGTAGCTGCTGCTATTGCCTCTGTGGTATAGAATTCCCAGATCCTTGTGGTTTGGGTAAGACATTACTGAAGGTAATCTGTAACTCACACGCAGTTTCTCTCCCTGCTCCCTTTGTGTGTCACCTTCCTAGTCTGTGGTGGTGGCTGAAAAACGGCTGTCACAGCAAACGGGTAATG